AAGGGGATTCTGGGGGGGAAAAAGGGATTTTTGGGAAAGCCGGGCGATGCCGATGGGGCATCCTGGTGCCAGCCGCGGCCTCGCGGCTCAGGGCTCAGCCCAGCTACCTCTGATCCCGGGCCGGAGAGGAATCGGAGGACGAGGGGGCAGCGTCCCTCTTGTGGTGCTTGTCCTTCTTCTTCTCCTTCTTCTGTTTCTTCTTTTTTTTCTTCTTTTTCTCCTTTTTGGATTTTTTGCCACCCTCGGGTCTGCGAGGAGGAGGCCAAGCGCTGAGGATCCCTGCCCCGCGCCCCCCTCCAAAAGCTCATCCCCGTCCCTCCCTCCAGGCGCATCCCAACGTCCCGCTTGGCCAAGGAGCAGCCCAGCAAAAAAAAAAAACAAAAAAAACCAACACAAAACCCCCAAAAAAGAGGTTTTGGGGGCAAACCAGCGGGTTTGGGGGTGATTCAGGCAGAAGCAGAACAAGCCCGATGCCAAACGGAGCCGTAGAAGCATTTGGCAAAATATCCCCCCGCCCCAAAAAAGGCCGTTTCTGGGGGTTTCCTCACCGGTGCTCCTCCACCTTCTCCTCCTTCTCCTGCTTCTTCCTGGCGCCGGAGGCCTCGGGGCTGCTGGAGACTTTCTGGTGCTGGGGCGGAGAGGGGAGAGAGAGGGAGCGCAGCCGTGAGCCGGGGGCTTCGGGCCGGGAGGAAGAGGGAAGTTCTCCCCTTAAAGATTAGATTTCACGTGGAAAAACCAACGAAAATTCAATAAAAAGGAGGTTGAATTTGGAAAATGTTAAAACGGAGCAGAAATTAGATCGGGGAAAATTAGAATTCACTAAAAAATTAAATTTGGAAAAACTAAAACCAAATCTAGTTTTGAGGAAAACTAAATAAAAATTAAATTTGAAACAAGTTCAATTTGGGGAAAAATAATTAAAAATTAAGTTTGGAAAATTAAAATGAAACAAAAGTTTGATTTCATTTCGGGGAAAAATAATTAGAAGTAAATTTGGAAAATTAAAATGAAACAAGTTCAATTCAATGTGGGGAAAACATCATTAAAAATTAAATTTGGAAAACTAAACTGAAACAAGTTTAATTTCATTTGAGGAAAACATAATTAAAATTAAATTGGGAAAATTAAAATGAACCAAGTTCCATTTGGGGAAAACATCATTAAAAATTAAATTTGGAAAAAATTTAAATGAAAAAATTTCATTTAGCTTGGGGAAAAATGAAATAAAAATTACATTAAATTTGGAAAATAGTAAAATGAAGCAAAAATTGGAGAAAAATTAAAATTAAAATAAAAAATTAAATTTGGAAAGCTTAAAATTAAAAATTTAATTTGGGAAAAAATAATTAAAATTTAAATTTGGAATAAAATAAAATGAAACAAAAATTGAATTTAATTGGGGAAAAAAATAAAAATTTAATTTGGAAAAAAAAAATTAATTTGGGAAAAAATAAAACGACATAAAAATTAAATGAAATCTGGGAAACAAAACCCCAGGACCCTCGAGAGCCGCCTCTGACCCGACCCCAGCCGAGCTCTGCGCCCCCGGCACGGGCGCTCTCGCGGGTCTCTGCCACGGCCCGGCTCTGCGTTCCCGCCCCTCAGTGTGGGGCAGGGGTGGGGGTGAGGTTTTTCGCCTTTTCCCGCCTTTTTCCCACCTCCCCACGTGCTGTACCGTACCGTGAAGACGGAGAGCCCCATCTTGGCCGCCTCCTTGTCCCCGACCCCAGCCGAGCTCTGCGCCCCCGGCACGGGCGCTCTCGCGGGTCTCTGCCACGGCCCGGCTCTGCGTTCCCGCCCCTCAGTGTGGGGCAGGGGTGGGGGTGAGGTTTTTCGCCTTTTCCCGCCTTTTTCCCACCTCCCCACGTGCTGTACCGTACCGTGAAGACGGAGAGCCCCATCTTGGCCGCCTCCTTGTCCTCCTTGGAGAGCATCACCCGCCCGGCGCTGTTTTTTTTTGGCGAGAGACGCAGCCACGAGTCATGAAACGAAGAAAAACAAACCAAAAAACCCCACAAAATGTATTGAGAACAATCAAATGAGGCTGAAACGGGGCGGTTTGGGGCGGGGGACGCCCCCCACGTACCTGGAGCTGCCCAAACCCACCACCCGGTCCACGGCGTCCTTCTCGTCCCGCTCGACGCCGTCCCGCTTGCACACCTCGGCCA